AACAAGATATTCGTACCTTCAATATATAACATAATTTTGAGGTTACGTGGGTTATAACCCACTTATTGCTTAGATTAAAGAAAATTGGGTTATGTTAATGGTATGGACATTGTGAATATCCAGTCAAAATCCATGTATGTGAGTTTAGATTAGGGTTGCTTAGGTTGAATTAATATAGTGAAAATATTTCAATAATTACTCATTTCTAATAACTAAGCAGTAGAGGTTAGGTTGGGTTGGTATGGATGGTTGCCTCTATAGCATCTAATTCCTCTGCCACTATTTCTGATAACTGTAATCTAGTTTATCCCTCCTTTGTATTTGTTTGTCTAACTACCTGTAGTTTAATCTCTTCCTCCTTTTGTCTTGTCATTTCTTCCGGCTCTCTACTCCAAACTGCTAATCTGGCAACTTCCAAATCAGTTTCTTATATCACTATCTCACTCTGTATAAGTTGAGCTTCTAACTCCTGACGTTAGAATCTGGGAGGGTTCTTTCTCGTCAGGGAAATCTTCTAAAACGTTCTCATTTATCTAAAATTTTGGCTTTAACCATACCGTTGGACTCATTCGACGCTAACACTTTACCTTATATATATATAATACAGCAGTACTTTGTATACTACATATATCAAACCAATCCTGGAGTATGCAGCTATATCCTGGAATCCATATCTAGTTAAATACAAGACAAATATAGAGAGGATTCAGAGGCAGGCCACCAGACTATTCCCGAGCTAATTAAGAAGTACGAGTTACCAGGAAAGGCGCAGGGAAATTAAACCTCACATCGCTGGAAGATAGAAGAGTTTGGACAGACATGATCACCACCTACACAATTTTGTAGAGGAATTGACAATGTGTACAAAGACAAACTATTTAGCATGAATGGAACACGAACAGGGGGGACACAGGTGGAAACTTAGTACTCAAATGAGCCACAGAGAAATTAATAATATTTTTTTCACTACACTAGGCAATACTAGGAATACACTAGGCAGTGATGTCCTGGAGGCAGACTCCATACACAGTTTCATATGGAGATACTAGCTGTACCCGGCCACAGCACCTTCCCTGTCTCCCCCAGCCCTCCCCACCATTCGCCCCTCCCCCGACCCCTCATTCTCCAAACCATTCCCTACTCCCCCATCCCCTCATCCCTCACACCATTCCCCCATTCCCCATCACCTTGTCCTCCCCCACCATCCCCCACTCCACCGTCCCCTATTCCTCCCCACCATTCCCCATTCAACCGTTTTCTCGTCCTCATCATCTCCCACTCCCCTATCCTCTCGTCTTCCCTAACATTCCCTCCTCCTCTGTCGCCTCTTCTTCCCCACCACTCTCCATTCCCCATACCCTCTTCCCTACGATTTCCAACTCCCCCGTCCCCTCCTCCTACCCACCGTTACCCCCCTCCCCAGTACCCTCGTCCCCCTAACCATTCCCCACTCTACTGTCCCCTCGTCCTCCCCACCATCTCCCACTCCCCTGTCCCCTCGTCTTCTGTACCATTCTCCCCTCCCTGTCCCATCGTCCTCCCTACTATTCCCCTCTCCCCATCCCCTCGGCCATCACGCCATCCCCCACAACCTCCGTCTCCTCATTTTCCCCACCATTACCTCCCTCATTTGTCCCCTTGTCCTCCCCACCATCTCCCACTCCCGTCCTCTCGTCCTCCTCACCATTCCCCACCTCCTTGTCCAATGCATTCCCAAATAATCTGATGTTCCTATTGGAAAATTGGGGACATCAAATGATCTGATGTTCCCATCACTGAAATATAAGAGAAAGAGTTAAAAAAAAAACGGAATGAAAAACAATGAAAAAGTAGAAAAATTAACTATACTCACAAAATGAACAATATGATAAACAACAAAACACAATTCCAATGCAATGTCTCACAATATAATTAAATCAAAATTAAATTAAATCAAAATCTATGAAAATTCAATTTATCAATGAAAGCATAAACATTGAAATGGGATCGTAACATATTTAGTATATCAAGTGTTGCTCCTACATGCAACAGATGGTACTGTTTAAAAAAAATGTTTTTACCAGTCACAGGTGTGGGATCTATACTTATACTCACGACATGAATGGTATGGTAAACAACACAGCTCAATTCCAATGCAATGTCACACAAAATAATTAAATCAATATGAAAATAAATCAAAATCTATGAAAATTAAATTTATCAGTGAAATCGGAAACATTGAAATGGAATCATAATATACTTAATATAGCGAGTGATGCTCTTACATGCAACAGATGGCGCTGTTTTTTTCTTAAAAAAAAGCATGTCTTTATCTGTCACAGGTGTGGCATCTATACTTATATTCACGAAATGAACGGTATAGTAAACAACACAGCTCAATTCCAACGTAATGTCACACAAAATAATGAAATGAAAATGAAAAAAAATATCGAAATCTATGAAAATTCGATTTATCAATGCAATCGGATACATTGAAATGGAATCATAACATATTTATAAAAGCGTGTGCTGCTATTACATGCAACAGACGGTGCTGTTTTTCAAAAAAGCATGTTTTTATTTGTCATAGGCGTTTTATCTATATAGTAGGTATATAAAAACATGTGCATATTCGAATGGAACGTTGTGTCAAAATTTCAAAGCAATCGGTAAAGAGGTTTCGAAGATTTCTCTCACATGAAAAACATTGTTTAAAAAAAAAATGTTTTTTTCCCGACACAGACGTGACATCTAAATACTATGTATATAAAAACCTGCTCGGATGCGAATGGAACATTGTGTGAAAATTTCAAAGCAATCGGTAAACAACTTTCGGAGATTAGAGATTTTGAACAAACGAACATTTCCATTTTTATTTATATAGAAGATTGCATATGTTGCTCTTATGTGCAACAGATGGCTCTGTTTTTCAAAAAAGCATGGTTTTACCTGTCACAGGTATGGCATTTATACTTGCATCTGCGTTTAATTGGAAGAGGAGTTCTCCAAAAGTCATCTTCGTTCTAGGTGAAGAAAACGAAATAAATAGTGTGTAGAATGTATTACACTAATTATAAAATTACACAGCGTTTCGACTCTCCATGGTTCATTCTCAAGTGATAGGAAAGTACAGGGCATATTGAATTTATACCATTAGAGGGTCCTTTGTAGACAAATTGACCAATATATACGGGTCAAGAATAAGGCTTAATGGGGAGAAAAGTAGGGCGTTAAAGTTTGAAGTAAAAGGCTAAAATAGGGTCCGAAGCACATACAAAGAATAATCAGATGTAGTGGGCGTAGCATGTTGAGCAGTGTCATCTATGTTGGCATCTTCACCCTCTGGTCTTGCTCTTACTCTCATGGTGGGTAGAGAGGATAGTTCCATAATTTGGGTATTTATGGTGAGATTCTATTTCTGTGTGGATTGCTTCAAGAGCTCGTAATCTTTTTACATCTTGGGTTTCGTCTATTATACAAGTGTTTTTATTCAACTTTTCTCTTGTTAGGGTGATGTCATGGGCTTGTCTCATGTGATTTTTGGGGGCACCTGATTGATGATGACAGGTCAAACGTCTTGTCAGCTTGGTCGACGTCATACGTACTTAGATTGGAGGTTTCATCCATCGTGGGGGGCAGGTGTACATATGTACCACGTTTGACTGTTGTAAAGGGTTCTCCGTCGGCTTCGGGATGTTTTTAATAAGGAGGTCGGTAGTCTTCTTTGTTTTATAGAATATGATTAGGGCTATGTTTTGGTTAGGAGTTGTGCTTTTTATTCCTTTACGGTTTATTTCTTTCATTATTCGTTCTTTTTATGTTCATTGTGCATGGTTAATTTGCAATATAATTTTATTGGAGGTGTTGTGATTTCTGTTCTTTGTTCAGGATTGTACCATAAATCCACGTGTCGTCTTATAGTAACCAAGAACAGAAACCATGCCACCTCCAATAAAATTATATTACAAGTAAACCAAAAAAAGAAGAACAAATGATTTATGTTTTTAAGAACCAAGATGTAATTAATCTTTTAAGCAACCTGCAGTTTTCAATTAGAACTTTCTTGTTAATTTACTTAAAAATATTGTTTAATTTACATTAAAAAACTAATATAATAATATAATAAATATTCATCTATTAACTATACATCTAGAAAACTTATATATGTTATATTATAATTTAATGGTAAAAATAGTGTCAAATTTATAAGAAGCTAATAGTAGAGGATAAACTCCTTGTAACCTTGTTTTTACCATGTATTTGCTCCAGGAAAGAGTCTGTTATATTCACTGTGGTTAAAACTCCAACATATTCACGAGAAAAGCTAGAACTATTTCTTAACATTAATATAACGACAAGAGTGTACATTATGGGAATATGACTTAACATATATATAAAAGTTATTTAATATATACTGACCTGCTGTAAATATTTCTTGACATCAGACCAGACAAACATAATCCGAGGTCAAGTCACTACTCTGGACAGTAAATTGCATTGTGTAAAAAACAAAATTTTAATCTCCAACGAAAAATAATATTAAGGTAATTATTGGCGTCTCTACCACTTATGACGTCATTCGACAACTTGACACTTATATTCTATATGGTTGAAAACACTGGAAAAAAAGAATAGTAATGAGAAAGCTCGCAAGCTGTCAATAAAACCTATGGTTCCTTTAACAAAGAATGCGAAGCATTGCATCGTCTTTGGCTGACTTTCCTAAACACCGCAAACGCTAATAGGACCTTTAGCAACATTCGTGTAATTGAATTAAAATTTGCTTCACTTTGGTATATTATTATAAAAATATATAATCAAATATTATCATATAAATATTTAAACAAAATAAGATCACTCCAACTAACATTGTTATTTTACTGGCAATGTAGTAGTCTTCTAAATAAATTAACTAAAGAGAGAAGTGTTTGAGGCAACACAGCTTGCTGACGTCACAGTGAGGGAGGGATATAAGTAGCACTGTCGTTAGTCAGAGTGAGAAACTCCAGGTGCGCCCTCAGGTAACACCATCCAAGTGCTCACTACACCATCCCACACTCCCAGCAACGGTCAACACTCTACCATCCCACACTCCCAGCAACGGTCAACACTCTACCATCCCACACTCCCAGCAACGGTCAACACTCCACCATCCCACACTCCCAGCAACGGTCAACACTCTACCATCCCACACTCCCAGCAACGGTCAACACTCTACCATCCCACACTCCCAGCAACGGTCAACACTCTACCATCCCACACTCCCAGCAACGGTCAACACTCTACCATCCCACACTCTCAGCAGAGGTGCTTTTTATTCGACACTCCACTTCTAACCCAGGTAATATTTAAAAATAAGATATTTAAAAGATTTTGGTTAAATTTATCAAGATTTTACATAATCTTTGGAACTCATATCACAAGGAATGCATGACCGCACCAGATATATATATATATATATATATATATATATATATATATATATATATATATATATATATATATATATATATATATATATATATATATATATGCGAACAAGCCTGAATTGTCCCCAGGACAATATGCAACTGAAAACTCACACCCCAGAAGTGACTCGAACCCATACTCTCAGAAGCAACGCAACTGGTATGTACAAGACGCCTTAATCCACTTGACCATCACGACCGGACAAAATGAGGTGATAGCCTAAGCTATTTGAACCACCCCACCGCCGGCACTCGGATAGTAATCTTGGGCATAGCATTTTACCAAATCACCTCATTCTTTGGGGCACACGTGAGGAACACAAATGCGAACAAGCCTGAATGGTCCCCAGGACAATATGCAACTGAAAACTCACACCCCAGAAGTGACTCGAACCCATACTCCCAGAAGCAACGCAACTGGTATGTACAAGACGCCTTAATCCACTTGACCATCACGACCGGACAAAATGAGGTGATTGCCTAAGCTATTTGAACCACCCCACCGCCGGCACTCGGATAGTAATCTTGGGCATAGCATTTTACCAAATCACCTCATTCTTTGGGGCACACGTGAGGAACACAAATGCGAACAAGCCTGAATGGTCCCCAGGACAATATGCAACTGAAAACTCACACCCCAGAAGTGACTCGAACCCATACTCCCAGGAGCCACGCAACTGGTATGTACAAGACGCCTTAATCCTCTTGACCATCACGACCGGACATAATGAGGTGATAGCCGAGGCTATTTGAACCACCCCACCGCCGGCACTCGGATAGTAATCTTGGGCATAGCATTTTACCAAATCACCTCATTCTTTGGGGCACACGTGAGGAACACAAATGCGAACAAGCCTGAATGGTCCCCAGGACAATATGCAACTGAAAACTCACACCCCAGAAGTGACTCGAACCCATACTCCCAGGAGCCACGCAACTGGTATGTACAAGACGCCTTAATCCACTTGACCATCACGACCGGACATAATGAGGTGATAGCCGAGGCTATTTGAACCACCCCACCGCCGGCACTCGGATAGTAATCTTGGGCATAGCATTTTACCAAATCACCTCATTCTTTGGGGCACACGTGAGGAACACAAATGCGAACAAGCCTGAATGGTCCCCAGGACAATATGCAACTGAAAACTCACACCCCAGAAGTGACTCGAACCCATACTCCCAGGAGCCACGCAACTGGTATGTACAAGACGCCTTAATCCACTTGACCATCACGACCGGACATAATGAGGTGATAGCCGAGGCTATTTGAACCACCCCACCGCCGGCACTCGGATAGTAATCTTGGGCATAGCATTTTACCAAATCACCTCATTCTTTGGGGCACACGTGAGGAACACAAATGCGAACAAGCCTGAATGGTCCCCAGGACAATATGCAACTGAAAACTCACACCCCAGAAGTGACTCGAACCCATACTCCCAGGAGCCACGCAACTGGTATGTACAAGACACCTTAATCCACTTGACCATCACGACCGGACATAATGAGGTGATAGCCGAGGCTATTTGAACCACCCCACCGCCGGCACTCGGATAGTAATCTTGGGCATAGCATTTTACCAAATCACCTCATTCTTTGGGGCACACGTGAGGAACACAAATGCGAACAAGCCTGAATGGGCCCCAGGACAATATGCAACTGAAAACTCACACCCCAGAAGTGACTCGAACCCATACTCCCAGGAGCCACGCAACTGGTATGTACAAGACGCCTTAATCCACTTGACCATCACGACCGGACATAATGAGGTGATAGCCGAGGCTATTTGAACCACCCCACCGCCGGCACTCGGATAGTAATCTTGGGCATAGCATTTTACCAAATCACCTCATTCTTTGGGGCACACGTGAGGAACACAAATGCGAACAAGCCTGAATGGTCCCCAGGACAATATGCAACTGAGTGACTCGAACCAGTTCGGTTCGAGTCACTTCTGGGGTGTGAGTTTTCAGTTTTTTCGGCTATCTTTATATATATATATATATATATATATATATATATATATATATATATATATATATATATATATATATATATATATATATATATATATATATATATATATATATATATATATATATATATATATATATATATATATATATATATATATATATATATATATATATATATATATATATATATATATATATATATATATATATATATATATATATATATATATATATATATATATATATATATATATATATATATATATATATATATATATATATATATATATATATATATATATATATATATATATATATATATATATATATATATATATATATAGGTCGTACCTAGTAGCCAGAACGCACTTCTCAGCCTACTATGCAAGGCCCGATTTGCCTAATAAGCCAAGTTTTCATGAATTAATGTTTTTTCGACTACCTAACCTACCTAACCTAACCTAATCTAACTTTTTCGGCTACCTAACCTAACCTAACCCATAAAGATAGATTAGGTAAGGTTAGGTAGGGTTGGTTAGGTTCGGTCATATATCTACGTTAATTTTAACTCCAATAAAAAAAATTGACCTCATACATAATGAAATGGGCAGCTTTATCATTTCATAAGAAAAAAATTAGAGAAAATATATTAATTCAGTAAAACTTGGCTTATTAGGCAAATCGGGCCTTGCATAGTAGGTTGAGAAGTGCGTTCTGGCTACTAGGTACGACATATATATATATATATATATATATATATATATATATATATATATATATATATATATATATATATATATATATATATATATATAAACTGAAAACTCACACCCCAGAAGTGACTCGAACCCATACTCCCAGGAGCCACGCAACTGGTATGTACAAGACGCCTTAATCCACTTGACCATCACGACCGGACATAATGAGGTGATAGCCGAGGCTATTTGAACCACCCCACCGCCGGCACTCGGATAGTAATCTTGGGCATAGCATTTTACCAAATCACCTCATTCTTTGGGGCACACGTGAGGAACACAAATGCGAACAAGCCTGAATGGTCCCCAGGACAATATGCAACTGAAAACTCACACCCCAGAAGTGACTCGAACCCATACTCCCAGGAGCCACGCAACTGGTATGTACAAGACGCCTTAATCCACTTGACCATCACGACCGGACATAATGAGGTGATAGCCGAGGCTATTTGAACCACCCCACCGCCGGCACTCGGATAGTAATCTTGGGCATAGCATTTTACCAAAACACCTCATTCTTTGGGGCACACGTGAGGAACACAAATGCGAACAAGCCTGAATGGTCCCCAGGACAATATGCAACTGAAAACTCACACCCCAGAAGTGACTCGAACCCATACTCCCAGGAGCCACGCAACTGGCATGTACAAGACGCCTTAATCCACTTGACCATCACGACCGGACATAATGAGGTGATAGCCGAGGCTATTTGAACCACCCCACCGCCGGCACTCGGATAGTAATCTTGGGCATAGCATTTTACCAAATCACCTCATTCTTTGGGGCACACGTGAGGAACACAAATGCGAACAAGCCTGAATGGTCCCCAGGACAATATGCAACTGAAAACTCACACCCCAGAAGTGACTCGAACCCATACTCCCAGGAGCCACGCAACTGGTATGTACAAGACGCCTTAATCCACTTGACCATCACGACCGGACATAATGAGGTGATAGCCGAGGCTATTTGAACCACCCCACCGCCGGCACTCGGATAGTAATCTTGGGCATAGCATTTTACCAAATCACCTCATTCTTTGGGGCACACGTGAGGAACACAAATGCGAACAAGCCTGAATGGTCCCCAGGACAATATGCAACTGAAAACTCACACCCCAGAAGTGACTCGAACCCATACTCCCAGGAGCCACGCAACTGGTATGTACAAGACGCCTTAATCCACTTGACCATCACGACCGGACATAATGAGGTGATAGCCGAGGCTATTTGAACCACCCCACCGCCGGCACTCGGATAGTAATCTTGGGCATAGCATTTTACCAAATCACCTCATTCTTTGGGGCACACGTGAGGAACACAAATGCGAACAAGCCTGAATGGTCCCCAGGACAATATGCAACTGAAAACTCACACCCCAGAAGTGACTCGAACCCATACTCCCAGGAGCCACGCAACTGGTATGTACAAGACGCCTTAATCCACTTGACCATCACGACCGGACATAATGAGGTGATAGCCGAGGCTATTTGAACCACCCCACCGCCGGCACTCGGATAGTAATCTTGGGCATAGCATTTTACCAAATCACCTCATTCTTTGGGGCACACGTGAGGAACACAAATGCGAACAAGCCTGAATGGTCCCCAGGACAATATGCAACTGAAAACTCACACCCCAGAAGTGACTCGAACCCATACTCCCAGGAGCCACGCAACTGGTATGTACAAGACGCCTTAATCCACTTGACCATCACGACCGGACATAATGAGGTGATAGCCGAGGCTATTTGAACCACCCCACCGCCGGCACTCGGATAGTAATCTTGGGCATAGCATTTTACCAAATCACCTCATTCTTTGGGGCACACGTGAGGAACACAAATGCGAACAAGCCTGAATGGTCCCCAGGACAATATGCAACTGAAAACTCACACCCCAGAAGTGACTCGAACCCATACTCCCAGGAGCCACGCAACTGGTATGTACAAGACGCCTTAATCCACTTGACCATCACGACCGGACATAATGAGGTGATAGCCGAGGCTATTTGAACCACCCCACCGCCGGCACTCGGATAGTAATCTTGGGCATAGCATTTTACCAAATCACCTCATTCTTTGGGGCACACGTGAGGAACACAAATGCGAACAAGCCTGAATGGTCCCCAGGACAATATG